TATGAAGGAAATCGAATATTCTTAGGTAAGTAAAATATGTTATTCAATAAACCTAGTGTTTATTGTAGGTACAGAAAACCACAAATCCCTGAAATATCATATAAGTTTTTGATTTTTACCAAGTTTCCAAGTGTCCAACCAGACAGATTAAGGTCTTGGATAAAAAATTTCAAGATTTCCAAAGGAGCATTTATGGAAATTTGATTTTGAGAAAAAAATATTTCTTTATCAGCTCAATAGATTGAAAAATATGGGAGATAAGTAGATTATCAATATCTAGATTTTTAAACAATTTCTTATCTACCCAGAAAAGACCAAAGGGTTCAAAAGTACCACACATTTTTTTCCCTATATGTACCATGCCTTTGTTGTTGAATTTGTTTCCCCATTCTAAAAAATGGGAGAACAATACAGTATCATGAGTATAAAATATATTCGAAAAAGATAATCCTCCTTCAGTTAATCTGGTTGACATAACTTTAATCGCGATCCGTGGTTTCTTATTACCCCAGACATAAGATACAAATAGACAATTAAATAACTGAAGTGTCATCTTTAGAACTCTAAGAGGAATTGTATGAAAAAGATATTCCAATTTTGGAAGTAAATATGCTCTAATAATATTAATTCTTCCAAACCATGATATTTGTAGTTTAGACCAATTTAAGATAGTATTTCTTAATTCTTTAAGAAGTGTATTATAGTTGTCATTGATCCACCCTTCAATATTAAAATTAATAATTATCTCCAAATATCGAATGGACTTAGACCAGTTAAATTTATGGTCGTTATTCAAATTTTCTATTTGAGGGCTTGAAAAATTACAATATAGAACTTTTTAAGTTTTTTGCGTATTAATTTTATAGATGGAAAATCTACTGTATTCTTCTATACATTGTATTGTAGCTGGTGTAGTGGTCTCAGGGTGTGTTAGTGTCATGATTATATCATCGGCAAACATGGTTATTTTTTTTGTTCTTGATCGCTTAAAAACACTCCAGTTATATTGTGAGATTGTCTAATATATACCGCCAGTGGCTCAATAGAAAGAATATAAAGAAGGGGTGCCAATGGACAACCCCGACGTGTTCCATTTTTAATAGTAAACCAATCGGAATCTAAGCCATTACCATATATTTTTGCCATGGGAGAAGAGTATAGTGACATTGTTAAGTCTTTAAATTATCCCTCAATCCCAAAAGCAGAAAGTGTAGCTGACAAGAATTCCCAATTTACCCTGTCAAACACCTTTTCGGCGTCGACAGCTATAAAAACTGTAGGGACAAATTTTTTTTCTACTTCTATTATTAAATTCAGGATCTTCTGAATATTGTCACTAGCTGATCTTCCTCTTAAAAATCCAGACTGATCCAAATGAATTAGATCTGAAATAGTCTGAGTAAGTCTATCTGCTAATATTTTTGAGAATATTTTTAGATCAAGATTTATGAGAGAAGTCGGACGGTAGTTGGATATATAGTGTGGGTCCTTTCCAGATTTGGGGATTGGGGAGATCATGGCATTTAACATTTTGGAGGAAATTCTTTTAGAGGTTATTTTATCTGAAAACATTTTTAAAAGTAAAGGAGTTATCACAGTCTCTAAGGATTTATAAAAATAGGCTGTGAAACCATCTGGCCCAGGTGCTTTCCCATTGCTAAGCTTAATAATTGTTCTTTTGATTTCTTCAGATTCAATAGGTTTATTTAAATTTTCTAGTTTGTCAGGTTTTATTTTAGGAAGATTAAGTTTTAAAAGGAAAGCCTGTAGTTCGCTATGAGAAAATTTGTTTTCCTTCAGATTGTATAACAAAGTATAATATTTTGCAAAGGCCTTACCTATATTATAAGGGGAGAGACAAGTGTTTTCACCGTCAATTATCTTTTTTTATTGCGTGTTTTATTCGGTCTGGTTTGAGTTTTTTTGACATTGGCTTTCCTACTCTATTGTTACTACTATACCATCTTTGGTTCAGGTTTGTAATTGATTTTTTAATTTTATCTTCTAGAATTATTTTTATTTGAAGTTGAACTGTTTTAATTTGTGTTACAGTGAGCATATTTGGATTTATTTTATTACTGTTCAAGTTTGGATAGTTGTATATAAAGATCCATTAAGTTTGCTCCTCTGGTTATCCTGGTTTTTGCCCCCATTTGGATTAAATTCCCCCTCATTACACATTTGAAAGTTAACCAAAGAGTCTCACTAGATACATGTCCATTATCGTTAATTTTAACATTCTTTTGCCAAGTTTTGTAGATATTTTTTTCTGATGTTATAATTGATTAATCTAAACGCCACTGAGGTCTATGTATGTAGACTGGATTATTTTTTTAAATACTACACTAATGGGGGCGTGATCTGACCAGACAATAGGGCCTATTTCAGAGCTTGTAAACGTTCTCAAGTTTACCATATCCGTAAAAAAAAAAAAAATGTATTCTAGAGTAACTTAGATCAACTTTGAAAAAAAAAAAAAGTAAAACCTCTTTCATCTGGATGTTGCACCCTCCAAATGTCAAATAACTCATATTCAGCAAGGATATCCTGAAACCAGGTACAACGAGTTCTATAAGGATTGATTGAGTGTTTAAAATCCCTAGATCTTCTATCTATTTTTGCATCCTGAATAGTGTTCCAGTCACCTACAATAATTAACACCCCTTTTTGATTTTCTCAATCTTCCTTAAGGCTTTCCTGTAAAAAGTTTGTGAGAATATGTTAGGAGCGTGTAAATTAGCTAAAGTATAAATTATATAATTTAGTTTACAAACAAGAATTAAAAGTCTTCTGGATGAATGTTTTTCTATGTGAATCTGTTAAAATTTAAACTTGAATGAACAAATTATGGCAACTTCTCTTTTCTTCTTAACCAACATACTAGCATTCATGATATATGAGAATCTAGAAAGTTTACAGAAGGTTTCGTTATCTTTCCAGTGTGTTTCTTGTACAAAACACACGTCTATTTTGTCCTCTGTCAACATTCTATAAAGAAGACCTGTTTTTACCGGAGAGTTCAAACCCTGGGTATTTATGGAAGCTACTTTAATTGACATTGTTATTTTTTGTAACTAATATCCTTCCATAAATGGTTCTAATGGTTTCAAATGAATCTGTCTATACCCATTCTCCACAGATGTCCCTGTGCATACTACACAAACAATATAACATAAAAAACAAGCAATACACCACCATAACAAGAAAATACATATCTTATAGGCAGTTACCCTGCGAGGTCTAAACATTCAAAAACATTCACAAAAATTAAAGAAAATGTGAATCTCAGTGATACTCAATCGCTGGTGGCTATCGGTGGCCAGGAGATTAGACAAAAAACATAATCATTGTAAAAACATGGAGCAAAAAGAGTTCAGTCCTCCGCTTGTGTTTAGCCCTTAGTTAATTAAGCTAATATAAAAGTAAGGGGAAGAAAATCAAATAAATAAGTAAATAATATTTAATATAAGTAAGAAAAGAGACATTAATATTTTGTTAAAAGTGTGATTTTGTTTTCTTAGTGATCGTAGTTGCGTGTATAAGTAATTTACATTATTTTCTTTTAGTGTCAAAGAGGATATTCAAATAGTGATATGTTTTAGCTAAACATGTAAGTGGATAACTTAAAATGTAAATTTATATAGAAAGAGTATTATAGTTTAATGAGTTACAAAGGCAAAGAATGAGTTATTTACTACGTGAATATTAATATTGAAAATTATTTGATCGATTTCTAACATTATAAAGCTTCTCATTTTTTCTATCTTCCTTAATAGTCTTATTAAGGAAGATTTGAGGAGATCTTTAACTAAAAGGGAAGTTTTTCTATATACATATACCCCTTTGTTCTATCAAACACTTAATATTCACTTAAATACTATATAGTGATATTGGTGAAAATTGGTAAATTTTAATATTTTTATGTGATATAGTGAAAGTTTTTGCACTTTTCCTTAATACTCTATTACTTCTCTTTCCCTCTCCTCCACCAGCTTTATTTCGCCTTACAGTTAAATGAGGTTAATAACATCAATCTTCTGCAACCAAGAAATAAGCCATATATTAAAGCCAATTTTTAAGCCTAAAACTTAAGGAGTTCAATCCTCCACTTACATTTGGCCCTTGGATTAAGTGGACTAGTATAGGAAGGGGGGAGAGAAAATTTAAAATAGATAATTGTGTGATACATAATATAAGACAATATGGAGACTAACTTCCTCAGGATAAGTCTAGAGATTCTTAAAGGAAAGTACACTAGTATTAATAATAAATGAGTCTTAGTAAGTACTCATTTGTATCTTTTCATAATTTTTTTTACTAATCTAATATTATATAAGAATTATATTTCTTCTTTCCTCATCTCTCCTCTCTTTCATTTCCCAACTATATTTCTCTTATCACATTTCTCTATCAACTGTGTTTACATACAAATCTGTGCTATAGTGTTTATGCAAGTTAACTTTTATTCAATCGTGATATATTTTATCCTCGTAGTGAGTCATAAGTGTATATCTATCTTATTAATAAAAAGAGCTTATTTTCTTAACTAGCATAATTGTGTGTATAAGTGTATTATTTTATTTACTTGTGTCATAAAATATTCAAATATTGATATATTTTAAATCTACATATAGGTGCGTGACTAAAAACCTAGATTTATATAAGGGGAACATTATAGTTTAGTAAATAGCAATAACCGTCATGAATTATAAAATACTGCATAAGTATAAGATTTAAAGATTGTTTGGTAGATTTCCAACAAAATACAGATTCACGTTTTGTCTATCATCCCTTAAATTTCTATTATTTCTCCTTCACTCCCCTCCATAAGCTTTGTTCTATTTTACAGGTTATATGAAGCTATATACATCAATCTATTATTCCCAAATTTTTTAATTTAGGAGTAGAGATGTCGCGAACTGTCCGCCGAACTGTTCGCGAACTGTCCGCCGGCGAACAATAGCGTGTTCGCGTTGGGCGAACAAATCCGATTTCCGGTCCGCCCCCTATACGTCATCATTGAGTAAACTTTGACCCGGAACTACACAGTCAGCAGACACTTCCTGGGAGGGAGGGTCTGCTGCTGATTGGGTGGAATGTGTCTGCTGGATGTGAGGTTCCGGGTCAAAGTTTATTCAATGATGACGTATAGGGGGCGGACCGGAAATCGGATATGTTTGCCCAACGCGAACACGCTATTGTTCGCAGGCGGAAAGTTCGCGAACAGTTCGGCGGACAGTTCGCGACATCTCTATTTAGGAGTTCTTCTATGGAATCTATAATAGTAAAACTCTTCCCATTATAGAAAATTATCATTTTGGTGGGGAATTGCAGATCACAAATCTTTGTTGTACTTGATCTATAAAGATATTTGTGAACTAAAATTCCCATAATACACAGCCTAAAGGTCTGGCTGTGTGTCACAGGAATGTTGTAGACATTACTCCTAAGTGTTGCACAAGGCAAGTTAAGGTCTAAGGCTGGCCATGGCTGTATATTCTTGAAAAATATTAATTATTTTAATAAATACATTTTATTCGTATACCAATATACTCGATATATTTGTCTTGCAGTACACACTTATTTATCTGCATGATTTGTTTTTAATTGCCAGTTTTTAATAAGTTCCTAACACCTGTTTTTTTTTATTTGTGTTATTATTAAACCCTGAAAGAATATATGATGATCCATGCCAAGCTTGTAAAGTAATAAACTTTTTCTTTTTCCCTTGTCACATTAAAGTAATTTCTAGCCTGTTCCTTATTTTCTATGTGCCAGCAATACATTTAGAATTGCACAACTGGTAAAGTTAAATCGTGAATAGCTCATTAACAATTCATAAGAAAGTTATATATTCAGGTAAAAAGATCTATCCCAAAAAAACCTAAACTGGATCCGTATGTGACATAGAGCAACACAAGAATTAGAGAATTGTACATGCATTTGTATATACACTGAGATATCTGTATAGCAGCATAATATTAGGTGAGATACAGAGAAAACCTACAGGCTAAAAGCTGAAGAAACTTATGTAACAGAACAAAGGCATCAAGTGAATAAAAACAAAAAACACCAGCTATTTTTCCAAAGAATGGCAGGATTTAAGTAATTCCAGTATCCATTACCAGCATTCTGAGCTTCCAAAAACTTTCTATTAAGGATCTCAGCTGGCAACGTTGCTTCTGCCTTGATCTAGGAATTAATGCAGTAAGATAATGAACTCAGTTTTTCATCCCTTCTCATTGCTAATCAGGTCTATATCCTGTTAAAGTTGACTAATATCACAACTCCACAATAAAATTACAGTATAATATACAAAGCAGCATCTTGATATAATGTATGCTGTACAAATGGTTCATCATATGTGCATTGTTATTCAGTTATTGTTCCTTAATTAACATCATAAAATATATTAATAATAGATGACACATTTCCCTTTACATCTTCCTGTGTGTCAAAGAGTGTATAGAGGCAAATATTTATCTGTTACTCAATGCCATCTGATATGTGATTCAAGAGAATTGCTCATGACTTCCCACACACATTGAATACAGTAGCCAGGATCTAGACAACATTTTAGATTAAAGTTATCCTTCTGCATTTGTAGTACAAACATGGATGCAAAACACTTAATAGGTGCACAAGACATCAAATTTATGCAGTGCATGCTTACGTTTGTGTCAACAACCTTATTGAGCAACAGCCTCGGGTGACTTTGCTCAGATAAATTTATATACTGCTTAAATAGGTTTTAATTCTAGCACGTTGGCAAACACTGTCTTGTGTCCAACTCCCAAAATCAAGCTGGGTCATGCATTAAGGTGTTATACAACAACAAAAGTACCCATATCCTAAGTGCAAAAGACTGATAAATCACCCCAAATAGTAAAACAAAAAGTTGCTTCTACCAGGACTTTCCTGATCCTGATTTACAGCCAAACAAACAGCAAACTTATAAGGAACAAAATAGCTTCATGTAGCTGTGATGTTGATTAATCTGCAATGAAATTTCAGTTGCTAAAAATGAAAGAAACTGTGAATTTAAACTTTATGAAGTCAGGGTTGGAGAAATCTCCATATAAATAAGTATCAGAGTCTCGACTCTCCATATTACTATAAATGGTTGAGAGACAATAATAGTGTAGCACTCTTACAATAAGGTAAAATACACTAAGTGTTAAGTGATCTAATTTTCACAGGTAAGGATAATCACTGGGGCAGGATAATGCCCCTAGTCTACTGGATAGTACAAACCTCTTAACACTATAAATGAAAAAGGAATATTCCATGACTTCATATATTTCTGATATTTTAAATGTTTTAAATGTAGAAACTGAACTTGAATTTAATCTGTTATGTTTCTTTAACAATGGTATGCATCCTTGGACTCCTGGTGTTGTGGATCACAAATTCTATAATGCTCTTACAGTCAAACATCATGGGCGATGTAGTCTACAAAAACTGGTCGCCTACCCCTGGACTAAAAGCTTAATAAGAATTCTTACATATTAAAATATTATAATATATTTATTTAACTCCTTCACTGATTTACAATTTTATGAAAAAAAAAGAAATTGTAAATGTGACAAAGTTCCCTTTTATAGGGAGATTGCCATGAGTTTTTGGAGGGGCCTGCTTGCCAGCCTCCTGCCCTGTGACTATGGCCTCTGGGGTGTATTGCCATTATTGCTCTTCATACTCCCTTGAATAATCACTAAGCTCTTGTAAGAGCTTGTTCCTGCTCCTGTCCTGCTTCGCTTTATGGGGAAAAAGAGGTTCACCCACTGGAAACTGGAGCCTTGTCATAGGTCCAGGGTGGGTAGGAGACGGCGAGACCCCAACCAAGCTGCGGCAGTTTGGGGGGTCTGCAGTGGTTTTGGTCTCTGGTGGAGTGCTTAGAGCCCTCAGGAAGCTCTAGGAACATCCTTCAACGGAGGTGCCCAGTCAGGGTGCCAGGTGACCCATTACAGTAAGTATTACTAGTTATTATACTGCATCAATTATCACACATTCAGACAGGTTTTAAAGTATTAACGTTTTAAGCGCAAATTATTTTAGGACCCATAGCTGGCATAGTAAACAAACAAATAAATAAATACAAGTAATCAAATAACCTAATTTAAAGGGACACTATATTTGCAGCCTTAAACACTTCCTGTAAAGTGAGATCTAATGTTTCCACATCTTTATAGCACAGTCTATTTAATTATGACTTTCCTATCTCCTGCACAGTCAAAAGCTTGCTAGAACTTAGAAACATAGAATGTGACGGCAGATAAGAACCATTCGGCCCATCTAGTCTGCCCAATTTTCTAAATACTTTCATTAGTCCCTGGCCTTATCTTATAGTTAGAATAGCCTTATGTCCATCCCATGCATGCTAAAACCCCTTTACTGTATTAACCTCTACCCCTTCAGCTGGATGGCTATTCCATGCACCCACTACCCTCTCAGTAAAGTAATACTTCCTGATATTATTTTTAAACCTTTGCCCCTCTAATTTAAGACTATGTCCTCTTGTTGTGGTAGTTTTTCTTCTTTTAAATATAGTCTCCTCCTTTACTGTGTTGATTCCCTTAATGTATTTAAATGTTTCTATCATATCCCCCCATCTTGTCTTTCCTCCAAGCTATACATGTTAAGATCCTTTAACCTTTCCTTGTAAGTTTTATCCTGCAATCCATTAACCAGTTTAGTAGCCCTTCTCTGAACTCTCTCTAAAGTATCAATATCCTCCTGAAGATACGGTCTCCAGTACTGTGTACAATACTCCAAGTGAGGTCTCACCAGTGTTCTGTACAATGGCATGAACACTTCCCTCTTTCTACTGCTAATACCTCTCACTATACAACCAAGCATTTTGCTAGCATTTCCTGCTGCTCTATTACATTATCTGCCTACGTTTAAGTCATCAGAAATAATTTATTTTTTTAATCTAACTAATCCTTGTTTTACTTTCCTTTATCTATGTAAAAAATGTTTTTTGGCCCCTTTTTTACTGACTGTGCTATTTTCTCTTCTGTGTGTGATTTGGATGCTTTTATAACCTGCTTAGCCTCTTTCTGCCTAATCTTATAGATCATTCTGTCTTCCTCACTGTTTTTTTTTTATAATTACTAAATGCTAACTTTTGTTTTTTTTACTATTTTGGCCACATTTGCAGAGTACCACAGTGGTTTCTTAAATGTTTTGCTTTTACTGACAAGCCTAATGCATTTTTATGTTGCCTTCAGCAGGGCAACTTTTAAATAATCCAATGTCTCTTGGACTCTGTTTAAATTGCTCCAGTCTGATAACGACTCCTTTTCACACATTCTTATTTTAGAAAAGTCTGTTTTTCTAAAGTCTAAAACTTTTGTTTTTGTATTGTGTGAGTCAGTCACTGTTCTAATATTAAACCACACTGACTGATGATCACTGGATCCTAAACTTTCACCTACTGTAATATCTGATACCAAATCTCCATTTGTTAACACTAAATCTAGTATGTCCTCTTTACAAGTTGTCTCCTCAACGACTTGTTTTAGAGACATTCCCAGTAGGAGGGTTTAGAATATGTGTGCTCCTGGCACAAGCAGCTATTTTGGTTTTCCAAATCACATCAGGAAGATTAAAGTCACCCATAATGATAACTTCCCCCTTCATTGTCATTTTTGCTATTTCCTCTCATAGTAAATTATATAACTCTTCTATTTGTCCAGAGGGTCTATAAATCACACATACACGAGTTACTGTGTGATTACCAAATTCTAACGTAACCCAAATGGACTCTCTTTTATTAGGCTAGATTTTATGCTATCCTTAACATACAGGGCCACCCCTCCCCCTTTTTTTTTCCTTCCCTGTCTTTTCTATATAAAGAGTACTCTGGTATTGCTATGTCCCAGTCATTTTCCTCATTATACCATGTGTCTGTAACAGCGACTAAATCTACATTATCAGTTACCATTATTGCCACAAGTTCATGGATCTTATTCCTTAAACTACTAACATTTGTAGACACACTTGCTACAGGCACCTTCTGTCCTTGTTCTGACCCCCTCCTAGTTTAAATACATCCTAGCATAACCTCTGACCTGTTCACAGTGAACATTTGTTCCCTTTTGAGAACAGAGCTACCATGAGAAATGAAGCCAAATCCTTGCTTCCGACACCATA